GCCGCAAGCAGCCCATTAAAAACTCCTCTGGGGTTTAGGGTTTAAGGCTTTGGGGTCTAAGGGTTTAGGGTTTGAGGCTTTAGGGTCTAAGGGTTTAGGGTTTAAGGTTTTAGGGTCTAAGGGTTTACCATTAAAAACTCCTCTGGAATTCGCGGAGGGGCCGGATGACAGGGTTTAGACGGGGGGTTGTTTAGGGTGTAGAGGTTTTAAGGGTTTAGGGCTTATTTTTTGGAAGCTATGTTGACAAGGGCAGATGTATTGAAATGTTGCGCTGAGAAGTCGCAAAATTACAAGTACCGGTTTAGGCTCACAAGACTACAGGTACTGGGTAGTTCCCAAAATTATGGTCCCTTGGGGCCAATGATTATACTACGGCAGCTAATAATTAGGGGTACCCAAATGGGACCCTAATTTTGGAAACTGCCTTGCTGAAGTCAAAGTAGTTCCCAACCCTAAACCCAAAACCCTAACCCCTAAATCCTACTGAAGTCAAGGTATGCTTGCCTCGACTTAGGGACTTCTTCCTTCCTGCAGGCGACCCGCGCTCTGAGCGCCAAAGGGTTTGAGGTTTAGGGAACCTAAGCCCAACCCAAAACCCTAATCCCTTGGGCCAATCCTCCACCCAGTAATGGGAACCACAAAGTACTATTGTAGGTAGATTTAGGCCCTATGAACGCCATATTAAGGAGCCATTTTTTCTTAAGGGGGGGGATTGACCTAACTAATCCCTTGACCTGCGTTTCGCGTTTTTGCACCTAAAACTGGGATTGTCTGGGGGTCCAGGCCCTCCGTTTTTCTGGAGACCTTCTGGAGGAGGCCTGTACTTGGAGTCCCCTGCAAGCCTCTGGAGCCCCTGGAGGCCAGGGTTTTTTATATAGGATTATATAGGGTTATATAGGGTTAGATAGAGGTTACTTATATGGCGCTTATATAGCGTTATATAGGGTTTACGTAAAGAGCCGAAGGCAGAAAAGTTGGATCTGGGGTCAGGCTCGTCAGGATGATTTTGATTTTTGGCCTGAATTTTTGTGGGTAAATGAGGACGGAGGTAAGGCTTAATGAAAGGGATTCTGGGTGGGTGGGGTGATGCCAAATAAATACAAATAGTGATGGCAGAAGCCTTGCTAGCTTCCAGCTCTAGCTAATCGTGAACCCTGACCCCTAAACCTGTATCCCTAAACCCTAATCCCTAAAACCTAATCCCTAAACCCAAAACCCTAATGGGCGCCCATATAGACACCAAAATACTATAGCCCTTATCATGGGGACCCCCAAAAAAGTACTCACAATTTTGGAAAGCCCTAGACCCTAAATCCTAGACCCTAAAACCCTACATAACCCCATATAACCCTATAACCGCTTTGAAGGTAGGAACTCCCCCCACTTTTGGGAACCCCGAAACCCTAAACCCTATGTAACCAGGAAACCCCCATATATGTCCTCAACCTCAACTTCGCCGCCATCGTCCAAGTCCAGCAGCTTAAAGAATGACCAGGCCTAGCCCGCCCGGTTTACTAAAGTAAGACTTAGGGTTTAGGGTTAGAGGTTTAGGGTTTATAGTCCCCCTTAAGTAGATCGAAGTGTTATATTGGGATAATGGAAAATAAAATGGAAACTACTATTTAGGGTCTAGGGTTCAGTCCCCCTTAAGTAGATAGCATATGGCTTTGGCAAAAATCAAAATAAGTCCCCTTATACCGCATATTCTATCTACTCACGGGCGACTATAGGGTTAAGGGTCTTGGGTTAAGGTTTTGCGTCAAGTGGGCTGAGAGTGTAAGGGGTATGAAGACATTCAGGGGTGCTGATTAGAACACGGCTTTGAGGTTACATCCATAGAGACTTTGGAAATGGAGGGCTGGAAAAGAACATCGAAACTCCGTACGGCTTATCAAAAGCCGTAGCATGGAGAGGGTCTGGCATTCGGGCCAAGGGATCAGGGTCCAAGGCTTCAGTTGGATGTACTAGAAATAGTCTGGGTTAGGGCTGTAGCACCTCCTGTAAGCCCCGTGCTGGGGTCAAAGGTTAAGGAGCGCTAAACCCCAAACCCTAAGCCCTGAACCTTAAACCCTAAACCCGAAACCCTAAACCATAACATGACGGCTCAGGGTTTAACAGCCCCTAGGGCCCCGATCCACGAACAGGCACCCAGTAAGCCTAATCTCAGTTACTTGAGAAGGAATATGCCTTAAATGAGGTTTAGGGTTCAGGGTTTAATATTCTCATACGTAATAGTAAGAATGGAGAATCAAGATATGCAAGCTGGGGTTATATAGGGATCCAAGTACACAAATCATACACACCTTGGGCCCTGAAGTCTGCAAATATTACCTACATTGGGCTATTTGGATCCCTAGGGTTACTTGAAGGAATATGCGGTCAAACATATGAGGGATCCTAGTCCGTGAATGTGGAGACCTCCATAATTAGGAGGCTCCGACAGAAGCATTGACGCTGTGAGACAACAAGAGAGCCTCTTGACAAGTTCCATGGGCCATCCTGCCTTTTGCCGGCTTCGCCTTCGCTGTCCTTTGACCAGTCCCCTAAACCCAAAAACCCTGCACCCTAAACCACATAGTCCACACTGCAGTAGAATTCAATGAACGCATATATTCCTCAATTGAAGGGTATAGGGCGTTCTTGGGTAGTGGTGACTATATCAAAAATGGTCCCTTTTGGCGTCCCTGTTAGAATACGGCGCCTGACGTTTAGTAAGGGTACCCATTAGAGGCCATAATTTGGCCAAATCTCCATATGTTGCAATCGCAATATTCCTGATTTGGGCCGCGCGTTTATCATTCCTGATTTGGGCCGCGCGTTTGTCATTTAATTTTTGAGGAAAAGGATTGGTTTGCCGATCAGGCTGTTGCCATCGCAATATTCCTGATTTGGGCCGCGCGTTTGTCGTTCCTGATTTGGGCCGCGCGTTTGTCATTTATTTTTTGAGGAAAAGGATTGGTTTGCCGATCAGGCTGTCAGGAGAAAAGTTTGTGGGAGAACCTAACTCCTCCCAACAAAAATAGTAGAATCATGGCCTTGCCAGCTCTTTTAAAGGGTTTTAGGCTATTGCTTTTTTTGGGGTCCAGGTAAACCCTAGACATTCTCACGTATGTCGGTATGGTGTTCTACGGTCTGGAGAGTTGCATTAGTTGCGTTTAGAGCTTGGGAAGTAGGAGCTGTTTGGTCCTACATACCCACTTCCTCCGGTACGGCGAATGTTCTGGCTGAATCACAGTCGTCCCATGCTGAAGCATGGATTCACTCTTCTATTTCAACCACTTTTGGGGGGCACCTTGCTGCAACTTTCATCGCAGATGGGCATGAAGATCGTACGAGCATTCTTCGACGGCAAAAACCGCCCCATAACCAAAGGTGTTCGGACCCACACCGAAAAAAAAACACCCCCTTGGGATCTACATCCCCAACCCTGTAAGAAACGCCCAGCCAAAACCTCTAAAGCCCTAAACTCTGAAGGTCCAAGCACACAAACAGTAAAACTCTTGGTACCTTGAACCATGAAAATTAAGGTGCATAATTGACTCTAAAAGGGACTACAAACCCTAAACATTAAACCCTAGAGACCCTAAGATTTCGGAGAGATTGCAGCCGACCGGCATCCCATACGTCCAGTCCAAGTACCTCAAAGTAGGCCTGCGTAACAGGTGGGTTTAGGTTTAGAGGGTTTAGGGTTTTGGGTTTTGGGAAAGGTTTAGGCTAGGGTTAGTGTAAGGGTTAAGGCTAGGATTTGGGTTAGGATTTAGGGTTTAGGGTTTCTAGGGTTTAGGGGCAATAAGGGAAGGGATACCTGATCCAGGGGCCTATCAATCATTGCCAATCTTAAGCCCTAAACCAGTCGTTTGTATGAGTACGGTATGAGAAGGGAACCCTACAGTAAACCCTAAACAATCCGCCATATGAATCACTGGGTTGTGGAGGTTTAGGGGTTTTGGGTTGTTTGGGGGCCACTATTTCCAGGGGTCCACGGGCTCAAATGTGACAGTTTCAGGCGTATCGGATACCAGAGGCCTGATTCTGGTCTCTAGTGCCTGAGACAATTATATTTAGGCCTGTGGACTCTTAGAAGTAAGAATCCCTTAGACATACCTGAGCCCTAAACCCTAAACGCTAAATCCTAAACTCCTGAACCTCTAAACCCTGAAGTTCCCACTGAAATGGACTAAGAGTTGAGAAGTTCAGGGGGTTAGGGTTTACCATAGTTAGGTAACTGAAAAGACGATTTGAAGGGCTGGATGGCTGGATGTCTTTGTTGAACATGCGCTCGCTTGAGCATCCAGCAGCAAGGAATGACACGACCATGAAGCCTTGCAGAAAGGGTTCTCAGCATGGTGACCAACCCGAGTCACCTTAACTCCACTTTGTGTAGATCTACTTTTGAGAAGACATTACGCTAGCAGCCTACAACCCTAAGGGTCCAAGGACCCAATAATTAGGTACTTGGGTTTAGGGTAATAGTAATTATAATACAGGTTCTGGGTAAGTATATGATTATTAGGTACTTGGACCCTTAGGGGAAACTGATAGCAAGTGATCCTAGTACGCGTGCTAGTTTGTGGGTCCTGCCGCTTGTCCTTTCAAGACCTGAGAGCCAGGCGGAGGAAAGACACAGCACGACGCGCGTGCAGTTTTTGCTAAGCCTCCTTTTGGGCCACCGATCTGTTGTTCAAGGGTTCACAAGAAATTTGTCGGACCTGAAAAAGGCTGCTATGATATCTCTCGATCACCTAAAACAAAAGTTCTGCAGCTGGAGCACCCTGAAAGGTTTAGGGCTTAGGGGATTTAGGGTCAAGGGGTTTCAGGCCCAAGTACATGCCATGTAGCTACGTGGACCCTTGGGGCCTGAAATGTGGTTATAAGCATAGGGCACCCCAAAACAGGCACTCGGGACCCGAGAGAAGCTAGTTGAAGGTTCTAGGAACATGCTTCACCCAAAAGCTTCAACCCGAAGCCCTGAACCCTACAACCTTCAACCAGCAACGTTCCTGCACGGCAGGCGAGTGAATCTTTTCCTCGAACATGGCAAACGTAATCGCACCGGTTTTCTCCTTTGCGCGGTGTCTGGAATTAGCCCAACCTAAGGGAGCCAACTACTCAAGAATCACATGGTTCAGGGTTCAGGGCCCCTAGGCTTAAATCAAAAGAGCTTTCAGCTGGGTAGTTTCCACCACATAAGGCTTGCACAGACCTTACATACCTCCTGTAGTCTCCAAACGTAGTCCATATGTCAGCATTGTGTCGGTACCCACGTGGGAACTACCTCAGAACTCCCGTGACAAGAGCCTACCAACGGGAAGCCAACTGACAAATAATTGCACCCGGCGCCACCGCTGTAACAGCAGTTTCCCTGATACGCGCCTCATCACTAGCCATGGACCGAAAAGGCCAAGTCACGTCCCCGAGCTTGCTGAACAGCGCCCGAATCTTGTCAGCATGAGCCTTCTTGTTCTTCAAGATGGAATGGACCTTCACGCTTCACGGAAAAAAGTGATATGTTCCGTGCAGAGCCCCAACAGGAACCCTCCATTCTTTTCCAAGATGTAGTGCGGGCGTAGACTCCATCTGTATTCTTACTTACATAAGCTCGGAACAAGCCTCATAAGAATCACACACTTCAACATTGGGGCCCAACTTGCATTTTATCATTGAAAATCAAGACCTCAAAAGCTGCCCATAGCGCATGCGCGTCATGGCAAAAATGCCTCTGCGAACAAAACCTATTGCTTGAAACACATAGCTCAACCACCACGAGCTCAAGATGCGAGTTGTAACAACTGCCAATGCTGAGGAAATAGAATTCATCTGAATTCCCCGTCCAAAAAACATCGTGGCATCCCAGGGCGTTATATAATGAGAGCCAGTCGTTCACATCGTCTTGCTGCCAGGTCGCCACGGCTGTGTGATCATTCTGCGCGCTCTCGATCGCACTTTGGCAGAACACTCCTCTCCATGCGGGCAACAACTGACTGAAAGTTGCAGCACTGTATATTGCAAGATTCACTTCAGGCACATGGATATAAAGATCTTATTGTATTTTGTCACATACCTTCCAGCACAAGCATAAACGGCTAAACACATTTGAGACACCTCTTTTTGGCCTGAAATGTTATGCTTCTCATGTTCCCAAGCAACACAGCAACAACCTGAAACCACCAAAGTTTCAACTCAAGACACAGATGTGCACCATACTCGTCTGAAGTTTGACGCAAAACGGGCACAATATTCTCAAGATTGTTTCAGAACCCCGTCCTGTAACTACATTGAGCCTTGGTAGCCCAGCAACGGTATTACAATAAGTGTCTTCTTTAAAATTTTCCCTGTTGGTATATAAATACCCAAAAAGGGGCAAAAGGGTACTACTGGGATTCCAAGGAGCACTGCAAAATATGTGAAACTTATATAGAAAAGAAACAAAAACGCCCAGACTTCTGACACACCGCGCAGTGGTGTTATCACATCTTCCCAGCTGACGCCGCCAGCGATGCTCATGTAGAGACTCAGCATTGTAAGATCCAGCGAGCCAAAATATCGGGTTGCCAGTTCCGCTTCTCTGAAAGAAAGCGGCAGCGTGTCTGGATCATGATCTTGCAGAAAATCGTTCATTGCTTGGGTAAAAAGAACTCCTGAGTGACTGAGTCATTGGCCAACAGAGCACACTAACGGGTTTCACATGTTGGCCCACTTGACAAGCACACAAAAAAAGGCCCCAATTTGTGCAAGCGTCCGAAAACGTAAACAATCACTACCAGCAGCATCAATGCCCAAAACAGAGACCTGCAGCACAGGAAGCACTAGCCACAATGCTGTGCAAAGCGCTCAGTCCAACGTGTGGCATGCTCATGCCATTGAACAACAAAATCGAGATGCAATCTGAAATTCAGCCAAGAAGCTTCAAGGTGTATAAGATGGAGGTTATGAGCGTCCGGAATGCCATAACAAAACGAAAGACACGCATCAGCCTTACGGCTTTCATCACACGCGTGATCCGTATGATGCGAAACCTCAGCTCTTTGTTGCTGATATTCTGGTCCATGAGTCTACCAGTGAAAAACAACACATGTGATGAATGAGGGGGCCTGGCTTATTCCGGCAGAAGCATGCAATGTAACATAGCGGCTGCAAGCATGTCTGCTCCCAGAAGGCACGCAACCAAAACAATTATTTGCTCGTTTTCACAGGACAACATATGATGCAGTTCGTTGACGTGCGGAGTTGTTGCGTGTTTATGCTGCAAGTACGAAAAGCACAGAAACATGAGAGAACAGAACAAAATCAGCCAACTGACTCAAATCAACCAAGCAACGCTCTCAAGCCCGAAACGCTGGCAACGTTGCCAACGTCATCGTTGAGGATCCTAAGTTATACCCGCAACCAATTGTGGGGTTCAGTGAAGGCGGTGTCTCAACATGGAAGATTTGCACCTATCCCTAAGGGTCCATGTACCCAATAATTAGGTACTTGGGTTTTGGGTAATAGTAATTGTAATACAGGTTTTCCCAAGTTTATGATTATTAGGTACTTGGACCCTTAGGGTATGTGCTTGAGGACTACAAGACCTGGGTTTCATCTCCCGCGTAGTCAAAGGAGATTCGAGGTCAGGGTTTCGGTTGCCACAATGGGTTTGGTGTCAGCTTGTGATTCTACTCTGCGGATTGTGAAGACCTGTAGGCACAAATGAAGGATGAAGAATGAAGGGAGGAAAGTAGACTGTGTGTCACGGCCTCTACTCGCAAGGGCCTGACAGATCAACAGCACCTTTATGAGGTTGAAAATACTGCGACTGTCCACCCAGAGGAGACTGCACGCAAAGACGCACAAAGGATCTCTTGAAACGATAAAGCCCTCGTGATGCCAGGACCATAATAAAAAAACCACCGTGCAATGCAATTCCAGTTGCTTTGCGCACGTGCAGCCGAGAAAAACAAACATGCACTCAAGAGCAGTACTACTGGTGGACTGTGGACCGTCGGCAACATTCGATTTCAAATGGAAGCTGGCCTTCATGTTCATGAAGCAAGCCAAGCGGGGTAATTTTTTGAAGCAGAAGAGCGTGGCAGACACTTCCTACGCCTCAGCTGGTAATTACTCATTACAAGCATTCATTCAACTCTTCTGTTCTTGTCTGTGTGTAGGCCAAAAAAAGACTAAGCAGAGAGGACAGCTAAGGTAACACAATCCCTAAGGGTCCAAGGACCCAAATGATAGGGTTCTAGGGCCCAAATACTATAATATCATAGTATTTGGGCCCTAAAACCCTATTATTTGGGTCCTATCTACGCCTATATAGCCCCCATATATCCCTAGATATCCCCCTAGAAACCCTGTAAAGAGACCCTATTATTAGAGTCCTTGGACCCTGAGGGAATTGTTTGCCTTCCACAGCCCAGGTTCAGGAAAACGATGTCGGCAATCAGCTCCCAGATGGAAGTAGTCACAACCTGAATTGGCTCATTGGGCTATAGGGTTTAAGGTTTAGGATCAAGGGTTTAGGCTTTAGGTTTTAGGGTTTATGTTTTAGGGCTAATGTTGCGTTGGCCACAGAACTCGGTACCGATAGGCAGTTACAACACCAGGAGGAAAAGCCAGAATGCGTGATCCTGCTATCGATGCAACAAACTGCCCGCAGTACTTGTGGTTATCGTGGCACGGTGCGTGGCAGATTTGTTGCGAATGGTTTGGGGCAGCAATTCCTATCATGTTTTGTGCTTCTCAAAAACTTAACCATCCGAAGCTGGAACAGTCAACGACAACCAAATTGGCTTCTTAGGTCCATAATGAAGACTTTTGAGCTGGCCAGGGATGACTCTCTGATTAGGTGTATCCAAGACTAACACGGAAGCTTGGAATCCTAAACCCTAAACCCTAATCATGCGTTACATAGGCTTGGAATTTAATGAGCAAGAACAAGCGGGACAACCTGCTGCCTTGCCGTGCAATCAATCCCTCTTGAAAGGTATCGGCCTGAATTTAGGTTTTAGGGTCCCAAATGGCTTAAAAGTTGCTCTAGGGTAGTTTGGGTAGTTTATAGAAAGCATCCAGGCAGCGTATGAAGGGATTATCATCCAGCACCTGTTAGATGCCTATGCAAGGAATGGATCGCCCTAGTGACACCTACATCATCCCTAGTTCATCCTGATTAAATATGTAACAGAGTTTCCACTGCGCTTGGCTTTCCCTCATATATCTCTACATGACCCTGATAACGCTAGTTTCTATACCATGTTCCATTTTCTTCTCCATTTGATTCTCTATCTTAGTACTTTCCAATTCTCTTATGTCTCTTCCCGCATTTCTTCCCAAGGCCTGTGCTTAGGCGGGCTTGGGCGTCTTTCCTGCGTCTCGGGCGGAGAAGTTGTGGGCTCGGCAAAATGCTACATACCTAAACAAGAAGGAATCTATAGTGGGCTTAGGATTTGGTAGCCCTAAGCCCTAAATCCTAGACCCCTAAACCCTCAACCCTGAGGGCTTAGTCAGGTTTGACGACTGAGGGTTGTGCCTCCCCAAGACAAACATGAAATCCATCCAATCCAGGCCCCTCCTCAAGGGACAGGCTCGTTTGCTGGACTGTAACTTCCACTAAACCCTATACACCCTATAAACC